AAAAAGAAAAACAACAACTTGCTAAACTGCGGAAAAGTCTACAGATGATCGAGAAATGAGATTACCAGTAGAATGCGGCAATATCGTATAATGTGAGCAATGCATGAAAAAAAAAAGATTTGCTGAGAGGAGATACGACAAAGAGCAAATGAAAGCACTTATGATTACATACGAAAATTGGTTAAGAAGAGATCTTGAGGATTTTGCTCCATACCGAAACCGATTGAGAACTTGAAAAAGTACACATGTAAACTGGTTGAGAACACACCTAATAGAAATAACATCCTCATTTGGAAACGTGCTTGGTCTTTCTTCAACCTGGAAGACGATTCTCATGAAGAATGTAATGGATTTTATGCTTTATACAGCAATACCTGATATGCAGATGGTGGCTTTGGTGCTGTTACCCAATAATAGAACTTCAGTGCATGGCACATTTCACCAAATGTGGCCACTTGTCGGATGATATGATGGAAGTTGGTGTTTCCCAGAAAATCAGTGGCGAGATAGTTGTATAAATGAACCTAAAGCGAACAGCGTGCATATCGACAATTTCGAGCACCTAAATGTACAAACCTGGACCGCAGGTTCGCTATTAATCCATAACTTTGGGTTGAACATGATATGCTCAAAGAGCTGCTTGATAAGAGGACCGCCGGATGAGCATCGTAGCAAGAATTTCGCCATGTCGATGACTTGCTCGGCCACTTTCATAGTGATGTGCCTGCTGGAAGCCTAAATATTGCAATGAGCAGATCGAGAAATAAAATGCAAAACTGTATGCAGAGGCAAGAAAAACATTAACTGTGATGAACTTTCAACAAAAGATACGCAATTCAAGTAGTTCAAAGTAGGTGAGCATCAATTACCTTCTGCAAGGCGTGGCCAATTATCAAAAATCCCTTGCTGTGATAGAGTTGCTGCTGTATTGTCTGCGAACTGGACAACAAGAGGGAGATAAGCGAAAGCAGAGTTGAGCTAAAGTATGCATCTAACAATTTGATACAAATGACAGATGAGACAAGAAGCTGGAAACCATGAAGAAAAGAAAACGATAGCTACAATTCAGATGTTTGTATGTAGTAAATGAGAAAAAATGACAAGTG